CTGGCTTCAGATCAGCGCAGCTCCGTCCGTTGAGGCCAATTGGGGAGTGAACCAGCAGATGGAAGACCTCTCTCTCTCTCTGCCTCTCCTCTCTCTGTGTAACTCTGACTTTCAAATAAATAAATAAATCTTTTTAAAAAGTAACTTTTTATATGTTAATGATGAACTCACAGAAAGAGAAATCAAGAAAGAAATCCCTATTCACAATAGCTACAAAAAATCAAATACTTAGGAATAAATTTAACCAGAGAAATGAAAGATCTCTACAATGAAAATTATCAAACATTGATAAAAGAAATCATCAAAGACATACACACACACACACACACACACAAACAAATATGGAAAAATATTCCCTGTCCGTGGATTGCAAGAATCAATATCTAAAATGTCTATACAACCTAAAGCAATTTACAGATTCAATGCAATCCTTGTCAAAATATCACTAGCATTCTTTACAGAATTAGAAAAAGCAATCCTAAAATTATTATGAAATCACAAAAGACTTAGAATAGCCAAAGCACTCCTGAGCAAGAAAAATCAAGCTGGAGACATCACAATACCTGACATCAAAGCCTACTACAAAGCTATAGTAATTAAAACAGCATGGTACTGGCATTAAAAAACTGATACATGGATCATTGAAACAGAATACAGAGCCCAGAAATTAATCTATGTACATAAAGCCAACTGATTTTGGACAAAGGTGCTCAGACCATACAGTGGAGTAAGGATAATCTCATCAACAAATGGTGCTGGCAAAACTGGATATATATATACAGAAGAATGAAATTAGACCCATACCTCTCACCATACACAAAAATCAACTCAAGTTGGATCAAAGACCTAAATTTAAGACCTAAGACTATGAAGTTGCTGGAAGAAAACATAGGGGGAATACTCCAAGATATTGGCATAGAGGACAACGTCTTGGACAAGATCCCCAAGCACAGGCAACAAAAGCAAAACTAAACAAATGAGATTGTATCAAACCCACAGCAAAGGAAATGATCAATAGGGTGAAAAAATCATCCAACAGAATGGGAAAAAATATTTGCAAACTACCTATCTGAAAAGGATTAATATCCCAAATATATAAGAAACTTAAAACACTCAACAGCAACGAAGAAACCAATCCAGTTAAGAAATGGGTAAGGAGGGGCCGGCACTGTGGCATAGTAGGTAAAATCACTGCCTGCAGTGCCGGCATCCCATATGGCCGCCGGTTCAAGTCCCAGCTGCTCCACTTTTGATCCAGCTCTCTATTGTGGCCTGGGAAAGTAGTGGAAGATGGCTCAAGTTCTTGGGCCCCTGCACCCACATGGGAGACATGGAAGAAGCTCCTGGCTCCTGGTTTTGGATCAGGCAGCTCCGGCTGTTGTGCCCAGTTGGGGAGTAAACCAGTGGATGGAAGACCTCTCTCTCTCTGCCTCTCCTTCTCTCTGTGTAACTCTGACTTTCCAATAAATAAATAAATATTTTTTAAAAAATGGGTAAAGGACCTCAAAAGACAATTCTCAAAAGAAGAAATACAAATAATCAACTAATACATGAAAAAAAATTCTCAACATCACTAGCCATCAAGGAAATGCAAATCAAAACCACAAAGAGAAATCAGAATGTCAGAATAGCTAAAATCCAAAGAACAGAGAGTAACAAATGCTGTGAGGATGTAGAGAAAGGGAAGCACTTATACACTATGCATGGGAACGTGAATTAATGCAGCCACTGTGGAAAGCAGTGTGGAGATTTCTTCAAAAACTAGAAATAGACTTGCCATATGATCCAGCAATCCCACTATTGGTTATATACCCCAAAGATTTGAATATATTATAGCAAAGAGATAACTGCACCACCATATTTATGGCAGCACTGTTCACAGTAGCCAAAATTTGGAATTAATCAAGGTGTTCATTATCAGATGAATGGATAAAGAAAATGTGGTATATACATGCACAATGGAATATTATTCAGAAATAAGAAAGAATGAAATTCTACTATTTGAAGCATAATGGACACAACTGGAGGTCATCATGTTGAGTGGAAATAAGCCAACACAGAAAGACAAACACCATACATTATCCTTTATGTGAGAGCTAGAACTTAAAAACAAACATGAAAGAAATGCCTGTGTTTATCAGTATTGTTGCAAATATAATTTGTCAAACTTTGTTTTAAATCTTTGTTAAACCAATGATTAAGAATGTTATACTATTATAGTCTTAATGATCTGTGATTACTTTGGAATTTACTGTATATGGGTGAAATGGTTATTTTCTCATTCAATTATTATTTATAGCCATTGTCTGTATTCCCACAAACTAGGGTGTTTTTGCTTTATACTTGTTAAACTTCTTATTCAGTGCTATGTTAAGCCTTTAACTGTAATGTAAATTTATCTCAAAAACTAAAAAAAAAAAAGCAAGAGAGAAGGAAGGAGGGTGGGAGGGAGGAAAGGAATATTATTATATTGTTAGAATTGTATACACAAACTATATTGAAACTGTTAAAAACTAATTAAAAATTAAAATAAATCAATCAATAAAAGTAATCTATATAATGTTTGCAACAGAGAAACATTATTTATAAGTGATACAGTTTTCACCCAGAAAATCAAAGAGAGATTTACATAATCTTAAAAAAGAAATAGAAGAGGATACCAAAAAATGGAAAAATCTTCCATGCTCATGGATTGGAAGAATCAACATCATCAAAATGTCCATTCTCCCAAAAGCAATTTATAGATTCAATGCAATACCAATCAAAATACCAAAGACATTCTTCTCAGATCTTGAAAAAAAAGATGCTGAAATTCATATGGAGGCACAGGAGACCTCGAATAGCTAAAGCAATCTTGTACAATAAAAACAGAGCCAGAGGCATCACAATACCAGATTTCAGGACATACTACAGGGCAGTTATAATCAAAACAGCATGGTACTGGTACAGAAACAGATGGATAGACCAATGGAACAGAATAGAAACACCAGAAATCAACCCAAACATCTACAGCCAACTTATATTGGATCAAGGATCTAATATCAATTCCTGGAGTAAGGACAGTCTATTCAACAAATGGTGCTGGGAAAACTGGATTTCCACATGCAGAAGCATGAAGCAAGACCACTACCTTACACCTTACACAAAAATCCACTCAACCTGGATTAAAGACCTAAATCTATGACCCGACACCATCAAATTATTAGAGAACATTGGAGAAACCCTGCAAGATATGGGCACAGGCAAAGACTTCTTGGATAATACCCCAAAGGCACAGGCAGTCAAAGCCAAAATTAACAATTGGGATTTCATCAAATTGAGAAGTTTCTGTACTTCAAAAGAAACAGTCAGGAAAGTGAAGAGGCAACCGACAGAATGGGAAAAAATATTTGCAAACTATGCAACAGATAAAGGATTAATAACCAGAATCTACAAAGAGATCAAGAAACTCCACAACAACAAAACAAAAAACCCACTTAAGAGATGGGCCAAGGACCTCAATAGACATTTTTCAAAAGAGGAAATCCAAATGGCCAACAGAAACATGAAAAAATGTTCAGGATCACTAGCAATCAGGGAAATGCAAATGATAACCACAATGAGGTTTCACCTCACACCGGTTAGAATGGCTTACATAGAGAAATCAACTAACAACAGATGCTGACAGGATGTGGGGAAAAAGGAACATTAACCCACTGTTGGTGGGAATGCAAGCTGGTAAAGTCACTATGGAAGCCAGTTTGGAGATTGCTCAGAAACCTTACTATAACCCTACCATACTACCCAGCCATCTCACTCCTTGGAATTTACCCAAAGGAAATTAAATTGGTAAATAAAAGAGCTGTCTGCACCTCAATGTTTACTGCAGCTCAATTCACAATAGGTAAGACTTGGAATCAACCTAAATGTCCATCAGTAGAAGACTGGATAAAGAAATTATGGGATATGTACTCTATAGAATACTATACAGCAGTTTAAAGAAATGAAATCCAGTCATTCGCAACAAAATGGAGGAATCTGGAAAAATCATGCTAAGTGAAATAAGCCAGTCCCAAAGGTACAAATATCATATGTTCTCCCTGATAGGTGACAATTAACTGAGCACCTACAAGGAAACCTGTTGAAGTGAAATGGACACTATGAGAAACAATGACTTGCTCAGCCTTGACCTGAATCTCGAGGAACTACTTCCTATTTTATTCCTTTTAGTATTTTTTGTTCTACTTAATACCATTGGTTGAACTCTTTAATTAACACACAATTATTCTTAGGCATTTAAATTTAACTGAAAAGTGATCACTGTTAAATATAAGAGTGGGAATAAGAGAGGGAGGAGATGTACAGTTTGGCACATGCTCAATTGGACATACCCCTAATGGTAGAGTTAGAAACGTGCCAGGGGATTCCAATTCAATCCCATCAAGGTGGCATGTACCAACGTCATCTCACTAATCAAAGTGATAAGTTTCAGTTCATAATTGATCATAATGATAGGATTAAGTGTCAAAGGGATCACATAAACAAGACTAGTGTCTGCGAATACTAACTGATAGAATTAAAAAGGAGAGAACAATTCAACATGGGAAGCGGGATACGCAGCAGACTCATAGAATGGCAGATGTCCTAAACAGCACTCTGGCCTCAGAATCAGTCCTTAAGGCATTTGTATCTGGCTAAAAAGCCCATAAGAGTTTCCCAGGCATGGAAAGCCAAGACACTCTGGCAAAAAAAAAAAAAAAAAAAAAAAAAAAAAAAAAAAAAAAAAAAAAAAAAAATGACCTAAATGAAAGATCTCTGTGAGTGAGATCCCAGAGGAAAGAAAGGGCCATCAAAGGAGGAGGAACCTTTCTCTGAAGCAAGGAGAGAATTTCCACTTTGACTATGGCATTGTCTAAAGAAGATCGAAGCTGGTGAACTCAAGAGGCTTCCATAGCCTTGGCAACTCATGACAAGAGCCTCAGGTGATTACTGACATCATAAATAAGAGTGTCAATTGTTAAATCCACAACAGGAGTCACTGTGCACTTACTCCCCATGTAAGATCTCTAGCCTTAATGTGTTATACTATGTGAATTAATGGTAAAACTACTACTAAAACAGTACTTTATACTTTGTGTGTCTGTGTGGGTGCAAACTGCTGAAATATTTACTTAGTAAATACTAAGTAGATCTTCTGTATATAAAGATAATTGAAAATGAATCTTGATGAAGAATGGGATGGGAGAGGGAGTGGGAGATGGGATGGTTGCAGTTGGGAGGGAGGCAATGGGGGGAAAAAGCTGCTATAATCCAAAAGTTATATTTTGGAAATTTATATTTATTAAATAAAAGTTTAAAAAATATATTAGCCTTTATCAAGACAGTGGAATACAAATTAACTTTCTCTCATTGAACAAACATTCTTTTCAAGTTTTTCTTTTTTGAAAGGCAGAGTTACAGAGAGGGAGTGAGAGACACACAGAGAGAGGTCTTCCATCTGCTGGTTCAATTCCCAAAAGGCGGCAATAGCTGGAACTGGATCAGGCCAAAGCTAGGAGCCAGGAGCTTCATCCAGGTCTCCCATGTGAATATAGGGGCCCAAAGACTTAGGCCATCTTCCACTACTTTCCCAGGCACATTAGCAGGGAGCTAGATTGGAAGTGGAGGAGCTAGGACTTGAACTGCTGTCCTTATGGGATACTGGCGCTATGGATGGCCACTTAACCCACTATTCCACAATACCGGCCCATCAAGAAACATTTAATTAGTACATCCTGTGTCCCAGAAATTGTTCTGGAATCTGAGGTTACAAACATGAACAAAGCAAAAATATGTCCTCACTTTCATAGAGATTTTCACTCTGCTGGTGGTGGGAAACAAACAAAAAACAAAATAAATAAGTTTAACATATTGATTGTTAGTTGATAAGGCCTGGGGGGGGGAAATATAGGGAGGGTAGTGAGGTATATTTTGAAGGTAGAGCTGCCAGGGTCCTGTTAGATTGGATGATAAATAAGAAAGAAAGAATTCAAGGATGATTCCAAAGCTGGGTAATTGTGGGAAAGACATCAGGTGGAACAGGTTTGGAGAAAAAGATCCAGGAGTCCAGTCAGGAAACCCTGACCTTGTTAGACATCCATAATGAGATAACAAGTAGACAGTTTATTATGTGTGTCTAGAGTTCAGGGAAGAGATTGAGGCTAGAAATCTAAATTTTGGAGTCATCAGTAGGTATGATATTAATGCCAGGAGAATGATGGGTGATACAGGGGATGAGTACAGACCTAAAAGAGAAGCACAGGGAAGGAGTCCTGGCACACACCAGGATGAGATGGTCCAAATGATCTGGAGAGTCTCAATGAAGAAGGAAGCATATATACAAAGGCCAATATTTTTTCCTGTTTATGACAATAATGTATTAGGGAAATGGGAGAACATTCCCACTCACATCCATAAAATAATGAGAATTAAATTTAACAAAAAAATAAAATCAACTCAACAAAATAAAATCTAACAGAAAATAAAATAATACCTAAACAACTAGGTAAATTTACCAAGTTCCTATACAGGAAAATTTCCTTCAAAATATAACAATTGCAGTCCTTCTCAATGCAGCTTCAACCAGAATCCAAATAGGTTTTTGTCTCCGGGTAGTATTTTAAAATATATATTTTTAAAAAATGACAACAAACAAAAAAATTTATAAAATCAAGTTCCCAAAGCATAATTATCCCTCATATAAATGCACCATATATTACTTTATCATCTTCTATGTGATGGGCTTGAATAGATAAATAGAACAAAGGAAAGTCCAGAAATAATCTCAGATCAATCATGTGTTGGTGTATAATAAGGTTGGCATTTCAATTCAGCAGGCAAAGTTGAGTTTATTCAATAAAATCTTTAGTAATAATTAGCACAGTAAAAGGATTAGTTTAATTAAAATTTCATATCAAGTGGCCTGCACTGTGGCGTAGTAGGTTAAGCCTCTGCCTGCAGCACTGGCATCCCATTTGGGTGCCAGATCAATTACAAGCTGCTTCCCTTCCAATCTAGTTCCTTGCTAATGGCCTGGGAAAGCAGCAGGATATGATTCAAGTACTTGGAGCCCTGTACTCATATAGGAGTCCTGGAAGAAGCTCCTGGCTCCTGGCTTCAGATCAGCCCAGCTCTGGCCACTGAGGTCATTTGGGGAGTGAACCAGCAGATGGAAAACCTCTCTGTCCCTCTCTCTCTCTCTCTCTCTCTCTCTCTGTAACTCTGTCTCTGTCCCTCTCTCTCTCTCTCTGTAACTCTGCCTCTCAAATAAACGAATCCATAAGAATCCATAAAAAAAAATTTCATATCAAAAGAAATGCATGTGTGAACTCAAACATCAAACTGAGGAAAATATTTACAGTACATAAAAACAAAGTGCTATAAAATGTTTCCATATGTTGATTTTAAAAATAAGAAACTGGACAAAAGTTGTTAACAAAAGAGGAAGATGGTGAGACATACGATTGAAAATCTTTCTTAATCTCATTTGTGTCTATAAAATACAAATTAAGGCAACAATTTTATACTGTCAGATTGCCCAAAATTCCAAAGAGCTACAAAATCCAGGGCTGGCAAGGATGTAAGAACACAGGTCTCTATTCACTTGCCTCATGTATGGGTGAACTGCTATGAATTTTTTTGAAAAAAATCCTAGAATCTTAAAATTCCTAAAATCTAAAATTCCAAGGTAATGTGCAAAGAGATGTTAATGTTGAAGGATTTTTTTAAAAGATTTATTTATTGGGGCCAGCGCTGTGGTGTAGCAGGTAAAACTGCCACCTGCAGGCCGGTATCCCATATGGCCGCCAGTTGAAGTCCTGGCTGCTCCACTTCCAATCCAGCTCTCTTCTATGGCCTGGGAAAGCAGTAGAAGATGGCCCAAGCCCTTGGGCCCCTGCACCCACATGGGAGACTGGGAAGACTCTCCTGGCTCCTGGCTTCAGATCGGCACAGCTCTGGCCATTGTGGCCATCTGGGGAGTGAACCAGCGGACAGAAGACCTCTTTCTTTCTCTGCTTCCCCTTCTCTCTCTGTTTAACTCTGACTTTCTAAATAAATGAATGAATGAATGAATGAATACACAAGCCCCAGAGACACAGAGACAGTTTATCAACCATTCTCAGTAATTCTCTCCTGAGAAAATTTTGAGTGATTTTTTTTAAAAAATAGTTATTTATTTATTTGAAAGGCAGAGCTATAGAGCGAGGGGTGAGGTGGGACAGCAGGTAGGGGAGACAGAGGGAAGATCTTCCATCCTCTGGTTCACTCCCCAAATGGCTGCAACAGCCAGTTAGGCTGATCCAAAGCCAGGAGCCAAGAGCTTCCTCCAGGTATCCACACGGGTGCAGGGGCTCAAGGACTTGGGCCATCTTCCACTGCTTTCCCAGGCCATTAGTAGGGAGTTGGATCTGAAGTTGTGCAGTCAGGACTTGGAACCAGCACCCATATGAGATGCTGGCTCTGCAAGTGGCAGTTTTACCAACTAAACCACATTGAATGACTATTTTTAAAAAATTCTCCCAACAATGGTTCACATCAAGTTCCAATTCCAAGAAACACTTAAAGAGGCTTCTCCATTATATGCAATGGCTATCTTATACCACTGGGGCAAAATTCCTTTTTGGAATACATGAGAAGAGCTTGAATAAAGAGGATGAGAAAAACTAAAGGGTCAAGAAGAAAACATGAAATAGTTTGGGACCTGAGAAGCTGGGAGTTCTACATGTTTAAGTGAGAAATACACATACTAAACCCTTCTTGGCATAGAAAGTACTGCCACATCTAGAGTGCTGCTTCTTGTCCTTTCTGCCCAATCTATCTGAAAATTCACTCCTCATGACTTAAAACTAAATGCTCATGTTCCATTTCCTTACACCCCTTCTCTACCTTCAGTTGAATGGACTCCACTCTGGAGATGACAGAAGCCCACTCTCCTGTAATCATCTCTTCAAGATCAAGATCTCTGCTGCTGTATCTCTACAGTCTCAGGCGCTAACACCATGCCTGCCAAAAAGCAGTTGCTCTGCATCGACTGAATAATTAGATATGTATTTATGATGAAGAAGCAATTTGGAGTTTTTGTAAGAAAATAAGTGACTTAAGATCTTTTTATGAAAGGATTACTCTGGCTTTCAGAGAAAAAAAATCCCCTATAGCAGTGTTTTTCAACCTGGGCATTATTGATATCAGATCAAATAATTCTTTGTTGTGATGTCCTATGTAAGATGTTTAGCAACATCCCTGGCATGTACTTACTAAATATCAACAGCACATACACACACACACACAATTGTGATAGCCAGAATCATCTCCAGACATTGCCAATGTTCCCTGGGAAGCAAAATTGTCCATATTGAGAACCACAATCCTAGAGAGAAAACAAAATTAAAGATCAGAAAGAGGCCATTCACTTGATAATATTATAAGAGGAGGAAGTGCATTCATGCTCACTGAAAACATCCACTATGTGCTGAACACTTTACATTACCCCATTTTAAAGAGGAATATGGGTTAAGACAGCCCTATCCCAACTGTCCCCTGAAATCCCTTCAGGGCCCCCTGAGGTCAAGTGTCTAAATCATTAAACCCTAAAACAGGCACCATCATGTTCCCTGGCCTCATTTGAGTGCAGTCAAGTCTAATTCCCATGTTATGTCAAAGGGTAATGTTTGACACTGCCCCAGGAATATTAATTTAAGTCATCCTGGGAAGGCTTCAAAATTGCTTTCCAGATAGCTCCAAAGGAGATCAGACAGAGGATCTCTGACATAAGCTGGTCAAGCTCCAGGTCATACGTGCCTTCTTCCTTCACCCAAGCCCTGGGACATCCTCAAGGGAGGCTTTCACTAGGACCCACGCAACATCTGGGTTATAAGCAAAATGCTGGAGCTAGTCAGCTTTCCTGGGGAAGTCAAGCTCAGAGGGCCCTGGCAGGTGCCTCTGCTTTCACTCAGTAGCCTGGGGCTCAGTTTGCGCCTCTCTGCTCCCACCAACGCCCGCTGGTTGCTGACGGTATTAATAACGTGAGCAGCAGGAGGCTTCGCACCAGAATCAAGGCTGTCTGGATAATTTTCCCGTGGCCTAGGACCAGTCAGTAAATTACTGCGTGACCTGGGAATTCAGCAGGTTACCACCATTACTCAGGCCTGCTCACTTTATTGCTCTCCCCTCCTGCTGCACTGATATTTATTTGTCTGGTTTACATTCAGAGCACTGATTTCATGCCTTTTTGTTTTCCGTCTCAGAGGTGAGAAGTAGCCCCTTTGGGGAGATTGGTTCTCAGGTCACTGGGAAGCTGTAATGACTTTAGGGAGGGGGAATATTGGAGATTTTGTTTCATGCAAACATTTAGTGTGTCGGGGCATGTCAACACCTGCTCTGTGTGGACTCCCAAATGTATTTCAATTTTTTGTGTGTCAGTGTTGTAATACTTATTAGAAAATTGTCACTATATGTAACCTTTTCTTTTCTGGGAAAATAAAGGGGAGAGAAAAAATTCTCACATCACTTGCAAATCATACACTACATTCTAACTGTACCTAACAAGAATAGCATACTCAAGTTAGCTTTCTCAAATGAAGCGGTGTCCTTCTTTGGAGAACTTGCACAAACTATCCCCTTTACTATACTTTTCCCTCATCCTTCAAGTCTTCTCCCAGACATCACTTTCTCCAGGAAGCTTTTCCAACCCATTCCAGTCTTTAGACTCAACTCTTTCTGAGCTGCCACAGTGTTCTATTCCACAGTCCATGACTCATTGTAATTTGTTGCTATAACCTGCTTTCTTGACTGTCCTATCATTTACGGTATGAGTTTAATGAGAACGAAAACCAGCCCACAACTTTACCAGTCCCCATATAAAGTGGCCACTGAAAATTAAGAAGTAGACGTAGCAAGAGATCTCTGAACTCTACTTTCCAGGCAGACCTGATTACCAGCTTTAACAAAGCCAAGACACCCACTTAATGCACACACCACCATTCTCCAAAGAGAGCTATCATGATGGTTCCCAATAGAGAACCTTTGGCTTCCACAAAGGACTTGACTCTCATTCCCGGGGGAATTATCAAACTGCATTTCTCCCTTTTCTCTATGCACCAGTTTTTATAAATTCATCTGAGGATAACACTATAACCCTCATTTAATGTTCACTGGAATTCCATAATTCATCTAAAAGATATAAATATTCCTGGTTTGGCTGGTTAGCTGCTTTATAACCTCAATTGAAACAGTTGAATGCACTCAGCCTTGATTTCCTCTTGCCTAGAGTGAGTTCATAATCATTGAAGTGACTTTCATCTTCAAAGTGTTCTGATTCTAAAAATTAAAGACTATTTTATGATTCTACATCATAAAGGTACCAACAGTTCCCACATTTCTGCAAACCCCTTTCTGACAACCAGGCTATAAACAAAGTAATTAATTAAACAAATAATCGTGTCACAGCAAGCAAATGATTGAGGCCAGTGTCCTGAGTGGTGAAAGAATTAATCAGAGCAGTCTGATAGAGTGAGCAGAGTTAGGTTTTCTTTTTAAGATTTATTATTTATTTATTTATTTGAAAGGCAGAGTGAGTGAGAGAGAGAGAGAGAGAGAGTGTGTGAGAGCATGAGAGCTTCTAACCACAGGAGCCCTCCCCAAATGGCCATAACAGCAGGGGCTGGGCCAGGTCGAAGTTAGGAATCCATCCTCAACTCCCACATGAGTGGCAGGCTGCTTTCCCAGGCACATTAGCAGGCAGCTGGATTGGAAGCGCAGCAGTTAGGACTCAAACTAGTACTCAGATATGTGTTGCTGGAATCAGAGGTAGCAGCTTAACCTTCTGTGCCACAACACCAGCCCCAAAGTTAGATTTATTGAGTACACTGCAAGGGACTAGCTGGCAAGTAGAACAGCAAGAAGCTGACTACTGCTGCAACATGGACTACAATCCAAGAGGAAGACTTGTAACTGCAGTTATGTCTTTAGTTAGGGTGAATTTTTTTCCTCATGATTCAACAGGTTTTCCAGGTAGGTGGCTTGCATTTCTGTGTGCAGCTGGAGAGCCTGCACCACCCTTAGCTTTGGGACTTTCCAAGCGTCCTGGGGCAGCCCTCCTCAATTTACTCACTTTTCTTTTTCCACAAAGGTATAGTAAGGAGATCATAATCTGGCCAACCTGTTCCACCCCACTGCCTACCAATTATAAACTATCTCTAGTCCATCTCTGCACAAACACTTTTCTGCCCAGTGTGCTTTTACCTATGCTGTTCCATCTGCTTGGAATACCTTTTTCCTCTGTACACCTGGCAAACTCCCAATTCTGTGTTGAAACCCACCAATGGTCACCTCCTCTAGGAGGTAACTCCCTAACTTGGAGTGCAGCACTGCACAGAAGTGAGCATTGTGACTGTTAAGTGACTTGGGACTCTAATTTGGCCCACTACTTACTGCCTGTGAAACTGGAAATGTGACTTAATTGATCCTCAGCCTCCTGATCTATGAAATAGGTGATAATAGTTCCTAACTCCTAGGGCTATGGGGGTTGAATGAGGTACCTTAAACAAAGCATTTGGCTCACCTCCAGCAAATAATAAGCACTGTGTAAAGTTTGGCCATTATTATTAACAATCTCATTAGAGTTAATCACTTCTAATAAATATATGTCAAGGTGCCTTTTACATGTCTGCTTCCCAACAATCTCTTTAAATGAAAGAGATTTGATAAATATGTACCAATAAATGTCTTTACTAAGTTCAATTATGTATCTAGAAGGATATTCTTAAAAGAACAAGAACAAAAAAACTTTAAATAAAGTAAAATAAAAATGGAATCATAAGACATATTAGGTAGTAGTAATGTTCCAGATTGGCTATGATAATTTCACTTACAGGTTCTCATTTTCACTTTGATTCTCACAATGAATGTAGGCATTGTTACCTCTCATTCACAAATGAAAAAACAGAGGTTCAGAGAGATTTACCTTTGGCTCAAAGACATAGAGAAGTTTGCAGAATTCAAATCTGTATCACTTTTCTCCCTTATGCTTCCCTTACACACCTACCCCTGCCGAAAGAGAAGTGTGTACGCCATTCTGAAAACTCAGGTATAAGATTTTAAATGTTCATCAGCAATCCGTCACCTAGTACATAATGAAAGCAGGAACCGGCAATGGGGCCCTTCTCTGAGATGCTGTTCAAGGATGACCACAGCCCTGGCTCCTCAGGATGCAAGGAGAAAATATGCCATTTACTGTATGTTTTACCCTCAGCATTCAGGGGAAACACTTTCTGTGAATGCTTTGGACTACTCCAGGCTTTTCCTGTGCTTCTGTGTAGCTGAGAAGGTGAAGTGTAAGGGTATCAAAAGCTGCACACAGTCCCTACCTCTGGAGACAGGCATTTACTAGGAGAAAGACCGGACCAATGGCTTCCCAGAGCATTGTTCAGCTACATTAGAGAAAGGATTAAGCCGATACATTCAGCTATTCTAACAGATTTTCTTTAAGCCTTGAATACGCCTCTCACACTCACTCAGATAATCACATTAGTTTTGTCATTAAAAGATCCCTTTTATAGAAAGTACCTAAACCGCTTAAACCACCCAGAGAGGTTGCATACATTATCAAAAACCGAGACAAACAAAAGGGATTTTTCTGGCCCACATCTCAGTTTTCCTTATTCCTAAAAATTTTTAGATCGAGGTAGAAATTTTGCAAATGAGTAGTGACTGGACAGCAACCCTCACTCCTTCCTTGTCAGCCTCTTTGCAATTAGGATTAGGGAAACTGGAAAATTCCTTTAACATTGAGGCCAGCAAAAAAAAAAAAAAAAAAAAGTTAACACAGATGAAGACAACAGAGTGAGGAGCAGATAGAAAGAGGTGTGTGTGCCTCTCCACTACAGAAAATTGCATTTGGAACCAGGATGAAAAAGCTCACGATTTGGAATCACACAACTGCCACTTAATAGATCTGTGGCCATAGCTGATGTAGAAAGGAGTCATTTCATTTTTCTTAACTTCATGGTTCTCCTTTGTAAAATGGAGATAGTATCTTTCCTCCCACCCAGGAGTGCTGAAGCACTCAAAT